ACCGAATGCTCCTGGCGCCTGGATGGCCAGCACAGAGCCCTAGGCCTCTGTTCCCTGCATTGCTGGAGCCAAAACAGCAGGGTGACAGCTGTATTCAGGGTCAGCGAGGGCCCTGAGTGGACATCTGTCTTGCCTGCTCCTTGGTTTGCTGACCTGTTGGTAAGACCCCCTCACTGCCCCCCTTTGGACGGGTTCTGCCTCTGTCTCTCGCTGGTGCCCACCAGCTGGCCCCGTCACTCCTGCGGACACCACACCAGAGCCCCTGGAGGGCTTTGTGGGGTTTGAGTGTGAATAGCTGTGCTGCTTTCTCCCCGCTTCCCAGGAGCAGCTCAGCTGGCTGACGGCGTTGGGCTTAGATAATTTGAGAGGATTGGTCTAAGGCGGTGGATTCCTTGGGGTTGGACTGAATTGAGCAGAAATCAAGGGAAACACACAGCGAGCTCGGAGATCCTTGTCGTTCACAGAGTCGTCTGTGGGGTGTTTGTTAGCATGTGACAGTGGTGTTTATTGCAGCGTGACATCTGGTTTTTGTACCAAGTCGGTGCAGGCAACAAGTCAGTGCTCCGTGACAGTAGAAACGTGCTGGGGGACCACACGCTGGGCGGGGCTGCCGGGGAAACGGCCGCTTTGCTGTCCACGCTGGGTGGAGGACGCCCTCCTGAGGCCTTGCGCAGGCACTGGCCAGGTGACACGAGAGAGACCCGTGTGTGGGGATGAGAATGTGACAGTGTGCCTGGAGCTTGCACTGGAGGAGTGTGGCCAGGGAGGGACAGTAGGTCCTGCCTGGGAGGAGCGTGGTGGCTGCAGCTCGGCTGGGCGTGCGATGCATCTGCTCGCTGCTGTCTTCCCAGGTGTCTTAGGTCAGAAAGCAAAGCTGTGTGGAAGCCATTGGTCCAGAGCATAGACCACGGTCACCTGCACTTCTGTGGAAGATCCGTCCGAGGCCAGGCCTGGTCATCAAGGCTCTGAACACAGGCTCCAGTGGAAGCTGAGGCACCGACTGGTGCAACTGGTGGCCACGGGGCCAGGGCCGAGGTGACCTAGGCTCTGGCCAGCCCAGCCATTCACCTCAGAGCCCCCTGGACCTGTGCCGTCTGGGGCTGAGGAACCGCGTGGGTGCAGCCAGGGCCAGGCCTGGTCGGCAGGCTGTGTGGGGGGCAGAGCGGGGGCTCTCTCTGATCCTGGACCTGGGTCAGGACCGGGACCAGGGCAGCTCGTGGAGCGCAGGGCCCTGAGCCGAGAACGCAGGAGAGGCGGGTTCCTCCCGGCCTTGGGGCAGGGATGGGGGTGCGGGGAGGGTGTGGAGGTCAGAGGGACTCCAGTCGGAGGAAAGAGTAACTGCCCCAAGAGACACAAGGCTGTCGAAGTTTCAGAAAGTTAAGGTAGGTTTGGAACAACGCTGCTGGGCGGTCCCTCGGCAGAGCGTGGGCGGAGGGGAGCGGACGCGAGGTGGGCTTCTGGGTCGGTGAGGGGCCGGCGCCCAGTGGGGCAGCGCTGGCGAGGGAAGGGGCGCGTTTCAGATCCCTGCTCGTGGAGCTGTGCTGCTCAGGGTCCTGAGACCCTCCAAACAATAGACGGACGCCGTCAGGTAACATAAACCTGGTTCCGTGAGAAGGAATTTGTGTGTGTGCATCTCAGAACGTGGGCAATAGAAGGAACCTGCAGTGAAGACACTGACTTACACCGAGATGATGCCAGTTACCGAGCTTTCAGATGGTGACGTTTATTACCAAAAGGAGGGAAAGTTTCCTTTAATCTCGACAGCGTCCCTCACGCGCAGGTAGTGAAGGATGTCGTAGCGGTACGATTTAAACAGTTACGTTTCGTTAAGGAAAGTTATTTTCATTTGGTAAGTGACGAAGCCATTTTTCCAGCTGAAAGAAGAGAAGAAAGGCAAAGGGTAACGTCTTAACCGCTTCATCAATGAGAAAAATCAGAGTACAGTCGACATTGCCTTTTTGTCAATGTGCAAAACGGTTGCCTGTATTAACAGTTTACACGCACCAGGACATAAGGAGGGAGAAAAGAAAGTGCAGGTTGAGGCTGATGTGTGAGAGAATCCACAGGAGGGCATCTGCGTCAGGTTAGTGGTTTCCCCTCTGGAGTGAGGGCTCACCCGCACGGAACGGACCGTGTGGGTTTACTTCCATCAGGCTGCGTCAGGTGGCATTTCTCTGGAGATGGCGGGTGGTACCCATAAGCGGGGTCCCGCTGGAGGACATGGTCAGGGAAGCACTAGGTCAGCATCAGGGGCTCCTCTGCCCACACGTGAGCCACGGCTCTGCAGCGCGGGGCGGACTGCCACGCGGCAGGCCCGGCGGTGAGCGCAGGCCACATTGCTGTCACTGGAGCTGGGCTCCCCGAGAGGCCCAGTGGGAAGATCTGGAGGTCCCAGGGGTGCAGGAGCAGCACGGGGGGAGGCCATACACTGCCCCCCTGCATTCACGCCCATCTCCTCGCCGTACCAGCTCCCAGTGTTGGGAAGCCCTTGCTGGGGCAGTGGAGCGCGGCCCCTCCTGCCCTGTCCCTGCCCTCTGCGGGCCTGGTGTGGGGTGGGAGTCACCCACTGAGCGGCAGTCGGCTGCCTGATGGTCCTGTTGATGGCGCTCAGAGGGGGGCACCCTTGGTCCAGGCCCGTCTCTTGGTCACGGCTGAACACAATACCTGCCGGAAAACCCTCGGTCTGTTCTGTGGTCCACACGCAGGAGGCCCTGGGATACCAGCGTGCTCTGCTCTGAAGGGACCAGGAATTCTCACGCCTGCCTTGGGTGTGTCAAGCGCTGACCTCTCAGGAGGAGCCTGGTGCCTGTCTGACCGTCCTGGCAGGCGTGGAGTGAGTTACTGAAATGGGCTGAAGGAGGAACCGCCAGCCGGTGGAGGGCAGGGTCCAGCCGAGGCCCGTCTCAGCCACTCCTTGGGGCCTCCAGGGTTAGGATTGTGCTGTCACCGTGTTGCCAGGCAGCGGCTGCACAGCTGGAGACCTGCACCCACCTGTGACAGGACGGGAAGGGTGTGCACATGTGATAGCCGTGTGAGCCCCAGCGTACCGTGAGAGGTGTGTGTTGGGGACAGCGAGGTGGGCGCGAGAGGGGTGCTGCCCCAGATCCAGGCCCGGGCCTGCTCACCCAGGCTCGCCCAGGGCTGGCCTCATCCGCACTGTGATCCACCCCCGGGGGTGCCTGCTTCCCTGAGGTGTGGGACGATCTGAAACAAAACGTGTTGCCAGTTTGCGTCCCAGGCTCTTCCACGTGGGGGTGGAGGCAGGCTCCAGAAGCTCCGCCTGTGCTAGCGCATGCGCCGCCTCTGGGGAGCGTTTGGCACTGCTTCCATCGCCCTCGGGTGTCCACCTGCTTTGGGCCCCCCTCCGTGTGGCTGTCTCCTTCCTGCTGTTCCCCTGGGTGCCTGGCAGTCCCTGCTGGAGGACGGGCCCCAGCATCTCGGTGCCCGGCGCCTCGTACCCACCCCCCAGGGTGGTCCACGTCCTTGAGGTCATGTTGTCCGGGCTCGTGGACGTGCTGTACAAGAGCAGCTTCGTTCTCTGGTCTTTACACGAAGGCAGCTGCACTTTTTCTTCTTTTAAGGCTGAGTTAGTGACACTAGTCGGCACTTGGGGCCGGTGGTTTTTCAGTGTTTGCTTCCTGCCCGTTTCCTGACACCTGGACAGCCCTGAGCAGGAGAGCGAGACTGACCAGGCCCCGAGCCCGGCCCCCCATCACTCCTGCGCCCTCATCTGGACTCTCGATCCTCCTCCTCCGCTGACCAGCAGCAAATCCTCGTCCCTGGAAAGATCAACAGTGACTCTGTCGTGGTGCTGACTCGATGTCACGACAGGACAAGCTGGATGCCGTCGGTGGGTGGGCAGCCCGCGTGGCAGTGAGAAGAGAGGTCGTGACGTCTGGGAGGCATCTTCACGGTAAGTTTCTGAGACGAAAGGCACGGAGCGTTGGAGACGAGACCTGTAAGGCTGAGCTGAGCTCGGTCCAGAGGGTGGTGTGGGCCTCCACCCAGGACGCCTGGAGGACCCAGGGGGATGGTACCCAAGCTAAAAAAAGGGTGGAGGGCTTCCCTGGTGGCGCAGTGCTTGAGAGTCCGCCTGCCGATGCAGGAGACGCGGGTTCGTGCCCCGTTTCGGGAAGATCCCACATGCCGCGGAGCGGCTGGGCCCGTGAGCCATGGCCACTGAGCCTGCGCGTCTGGAGCCTTTGCTCCGCAAATGGGAGAGGCCACAACAGTGAGAGGCCCGCATAATGCAAGGAGAAAAAAAAAAAAAAGGGTGGAAACCAGAAACAGTTCATTGCATTCACTCTCCCGAATATTCGTCTGCTCCAGCGGCCATAGCGTCTTGGGCTCGTTACCTGGGTCTCTCCCCTGGGCTTGGGAGCGCCCTTCGGTTTTTAAGTGGGGCGGCCGTATAACTTCCTGTCCAAAGTGGGGCTCTTGAGATGACAGGGAGCACCCTGATGGCCAGGCTGGGCGTTGGATGTTTGCCGGGCCCGGCGGGAGTCTGTGGGACCCGCACCGCATTCTCCGTGCAGCCCGGGGGAGCCGTGGGCTTCGTGCGTGTAGGAAAGCGCCTGTCATCCTTCCACGCCCCACCCGGAGGGCGTCTCGAAGAGAGATGGGTTTATGGTTGTTAGACGGGGTGTGGAAAGTCCTTGTATTTGGAGCCCTCTCAGCCCTTCCCTGGAGCGGCTTCAGCCACGGGCATTGTGTTTTCGTGGCCGTGCTGAGATTTTCTGCACGGGCACCATCTTCCTCGTCAGTCGTTTGGGTGCAGGTGTCGCACTCTGTGCAGCGTTCTCTCCCGCTCTCGCAGGTGAGGTGCGGGTGCAGCTTCCCAGCCTGGGGGTGGGGGATGGCTGGGCGGCGGGGGGCGGCCTGTCCCCCCCATCCCCGGCTCAGCTCAGGTAACTCACTTTCTCTGCCTCTGGTTTTCACATCTCGAGCACGGAAGCAGCTGCTAGGGGAGAAGATGCCTCTCACAAGGTGGCTCTGGGGTTAATTAAAACCCGTCAGCGCGCCGCGCCACTAGGGCCTCATGACAGCATCTGTTCTTGCCCCGTCCCGCGTGCCCACCAGGAAGGCGCCCAGCAGAAGCGGGGTCAGCCAGGCTGGCCCAGAGGGGCTCACGGGCGTGCCTGCCGGTAACCCCGGCCTCCGGCAGGTAGGAAAGGCTGGCCAGGCTGAGCGAAAGCTTCAGGCCTGTGTGCAGGGCAGCCTGCGCTGGAGACCAGGTAAGAAGAGCTTTTAGGGCCTCCCAGACCCAGTACGGCGTGGTCTCGGTGGAATCCACTTGGAATTCACCCGGGCGTAGGGAAGTGGCAGTAACGTGGGTGCTGCTCTGGTTTTCAGTTGTGTTACTGGCAGCCGGAAAAATGGTGGGATGCTGGCCAGCCCCCTGTGGGCCCCCAGCCCTGAAACCACTGCTTGCCTTGAATGATGGGCATCTGTGCTGTTGCTTTTCTACGTAGCTACGTTACGTCAGGGTGTGCGTGTGAGGATGCAGCCTGCCTGTGTAGGTACCATTTTGTGTTGCGCAGTTACTGGAATGCACAAAAGTCTTTCTAATCTTTACAGAGCGTTGCGGACAGAATCCCAAGCCACACACCCCAGCACGGACGACGCAGAGAGCTGCGAGGAGCAGGCATGTTTATTTGGTTCACTCCAGGGCTGCGGCAACCACGCAGTTGTAAAAAAGGAACGGGAAGTAAGATGTACAAAAACATGAAATATCCCTTTAGAAAGTATCATCATCAGAAATGTATTTCCTATGGATCCTCCCTCCCTCTCCTGTGTCCCCACTCCCTGAAAGAAGACCCCCAAACGCAACCAAACTGTGAGAAGGGACGGGGGGGTGAGTATGTAACAGAAGAAAAAACTGAATTTAACGGGAACATGCTCTAATCTTTAGTTTATTTCTGGTTAAAAATATAGCAATCCAGTGCAGTGTAGTAAAGAAATCTGCTTGAAAGGTAGCAGAGAATCAGCTGAACATAAGCAAAGCAAGGCAGGGTCCACGGACGGCCGTGCCCAGGACCTTCCCAGGCGTGGGTGCGGCAGCCCCGTCTGGACGTGCCCGGGCCCCACAGACACATCCATGCACGTGGCCGGGGCTGCTCCATGGCTGGGACCACGGGGCATCCGTGACAGTCCGGGACCTTATTCTTTTGTTTGGACGGTGGGACAACGCTGGCAGGAAGGGCAGACACACCAGGAACCTGGTTTTGTTGGATTGAAACAAGGTATGTTGCATATTTTGGAGATGGATATGTCATGATTTCTCAGGAATTGTCAAGCCACTGGGTTTCAAACACATTCCTGTCCTGGGACCCGACCAGCTCCCGAGTATGGATGAGGCATCTGGAAGAAATATGCATATCTGTGAGGGAAGTCGAGGCAGGCACAGGACAAGAATGTGAAAACCCGTGGGCTCAGGGACACACTGAGAGGACGACATCGTGTGAGGGCCGTCAGGGCCGCGGACATCTGACAGCCTGGACGCACATCCTGCATCCTCAGTGCAGAAACGCCACGTGCTCTGAGCCCGGGCCCAACGGCAGGCTGTCCAAGTGAGGCCCTCCCCACGCCCGCACTGCCCCCTGGATGCCCACAGCGCAGCAGCCCTGGGGTCTGGGGTTGGGGGCGACGGTGGGGAGAAGGACTTTGCCCCGAGACTCAGTGTCGGGGCTGCCAGGGCCCAGGCTGCGGTCGCTTCGTGGGCAGAAGAGAGAGCAGGTCTCTGCTTCCCTAAGTAAGTGTGCAGCACGGATTTAAAAGGCCCAGGCCGCTGCCAGCTGGAGCGGGCGCCCTCTCCCGTGCCTCACGCCCGGGCTTGCCCCCCGCGAGCCGCCAGGCGCTCTGCCTCTAGTTGCCTCCTTTTCCACGTCCTAGACGGGGGTGTGATGACGGTGGTGACTGTATTTTTTGCCATTGATTTGCCGGGATCCCTTCTCTTTCCACGTCAAGCTGGAGGGTCGGCGTGCTGGCCTCCTTCTGCCATGCCACACAGCAGAGTGTTACACAAGCAAAGAATTTTGGCTAAAATCCAAAAAACATGACCCAGAAAAAAAGGCAAACTGTGAGTAATACCCAATCACGTGGTTCTGTGAGAAGACCAGGAAGTTGTCGTTGGGTGTCCGAGCTACGAGCCTTCCCTTCTGTCGTTCTGCTTTTAACGTCCCCCGTTTGTACACCAGCTGCTTTTGCTAATGCGACAATCTCCTCAGATGAAAAAGTTAATAAACAAAATGGCGACTCCGATGTTTAGCAAGATCACCATGGCCACCAGGATAGGCGCCGAGCCCTGGAACAGAAGCAGAAGGGGGGTGAGCCCCAGGCCACGCCCCTCCTCCTGAGCGGGACTGGGGCCCCCCCCAGGGGGTCCTGAGCGGGACTGGGGCTCCCCAGAGGGTCGGGGGAACGCAGGGCCCAGGCAGAGGGTCAGAGGCTCCCACGAGCTTCTCAGTGTGGAGTCCTGGGGCCTTTGACCCCTTCAGACCTGCACGCCTGGGTCCCAGCATAACCACCCGAGCTCTGCACACCTGGGATGCCAGGTGCAGCCCACCCAGCGTGGCCGCAGACCTGGCGACGGGAGAGCCCTCTCGGTTCAGTGAACAACTGCCCAGGAGCTGCGCAGCCACCGGGAGCCCCTCGCTCTCCTGGGGCACGAGCCCACCTGGCCCTTGCACCACAGCCTCTCCCCCACCCCGAACCCGCCGTCCTTGAGCCTCTGCAGTGACGGTGCCGAGGCCACGGTGCTGGACAAGGATGAGGGGTACCAGCTGCCCCGACCACCCTGGGCCTCTGCTGGAAGCCCCCTTCCGTGGAACCACTCAGCGGTGAGTACATGCCCGGCTGGAGGTGGCCACGTGCTCGTGCCGCTGCCTGAAGCACCCAAGACGCGCTTGAAGAGGTCTTAAAGCCACAACACGGTTCAGTGGGCTAAATATAGAACCCCTTCCTGCATCTCCCACCCTGCCCATCATTCGGCTTCCTAAAATACCCACACACGCGCACACACCACACGCGTTTCTGGAATAGAGCTGGTATCTAGGTCCCAGCGGGAGCACCTGGGTTCAGAGAGGGCAGGCGCGTCACAGGAGCTAGCCCGCCGCCCAGACGGATGCTCACAGTGACCTCGAGGGCCACCTTCCAACAGAAAGCTTCTCGGCCCCGGGGTCCGCCTGGCAGGTGCTGAGTCCCAGAGGGCCCCGTGGGGATGCCCCGCAAGGCAGACCCTCTGGTTTCCTCGTGTTCAAATGGGGCCGAGCACGCTGTGCCCCACCAGCGGGTGAGGGGCCTGATGATGGCCGTTAGCACAGGGCGTCAGCGCTGGGCCGTGGGGCTGAGAAGGCATTTCACGGGCCAGTCCCACTGCCATTCGGTCCAGGGAGCGGGGAGTGGCTGGCTTATGGGTGAGAGCCGGTGGGCCAGGGGTCAGGAGGTGTCCCCTGGGTGCAAGAGCCCCAGCCCTCAGCCTGGCCCAGGATCTCTGTTCTTTCCTCAACACCACCCGCCCTCCATGGGAGGAATGCGCCAAGGGCGGGTGTGGTCCTCACCCGTGAGCGTGAGCAAGACCCAGCACCCACCACGGGGCCTGAGGAACCCGAGTCACGGCCCCACCCTGCACGTGTGATCCCACAGGCCTGGGGGACTCTGTCCCTCGCACCCACGTGGGAGCCAGACCCATGTGTGTCCTGCCTGCTCTGGCCTCCGTGTTTCCCTCCAGGACGCAGGACGTTCCTTCAAGGTGAGGACCGTCCTGGTCAGCAGGAGGAGGTCTGGGGGCAAGGGTGGGGTCCCATGCTGCCCCGTTTCTTTTGGGGAGCTTCCAAAATCACCCAAGTGCCCTTGCTGAAAGGATGGCGCCTGGGAGCAGCCCTCACAGGGACCCGTCCAAGGCAGTGCAGCCTGCACCCGTGTGGGCTTCCTACAGAGGAGGGTCCTGAGAGCTAGAGAGTCGGGGAAGACCCAAGGGGCCAGGCTCTCAGGCCCCAGACCGCTAGCGTCCACTCACCGTGGTGGCCTTGAGCTCGTCCCCATTCTCCTCGTCCGATTCCAGCGCCACCGGTGAGGACCTCTGGGGCGGAGAAAAGGTCAAGTCCCAGCGCAGCAGCCGGGGCTCCGCCCGGTCCCCCAGCCGCAGGCTCTGCAGCCTCTGAACCGCGGGCTCCGCGCACGAGGCAGGCCTGGCGTGCTCCTTGTTCTGGGACTTGGACCGCAGTCTCTGGGCCCCGAAGCCCCGGTCGTCGGTGCCCCCCTTGCTGTAGCGTCTTTTCGGGGGCTGCACCTCCTGCGCGTACGAGTCCATCCTCAGCAGGGGCTTCATCTCCATCTCGTAGTTGCTCAGCTTCTCCTCGTCCAGCTCCAGCAGCTTGGTGCTCCCTGGGCCGGGGTTGCCGGCCCGGTGGTGGGAAGTCCAGGAGAACGTGGTGGGGGACCCCGTCCGCCGCTCCCGGGGCTTGGGGTTGCTGGGCTGCCTGTGGCCTGGGCCCCGGGCCCGGAAGGCTTCCGCGGGCTGGCCGCTGCGGAGGGCGCCGCTGCGGACACCCCTGGAGCCCCCGGCCTTCTCTCCCCAGCTGTTCCGGGCGCAGTCCCCTCCCCGGCCCTCCAGGAGCATCTGGATGTCCCCACCCCGCTCCTCGTCCACCGAGACCTGCCGGGAGAAGTGGGCCACCTTGTTCCTCGAGGCGGGGGCCGGTGGAGGGGTGGCCGTGGGGCTGGCGGGGAAGCTCTGTAGGGGGCTGTCGTCGGGGGTGGTACCCTTGCGGTACAGCTCTGGGCTCTCCTGCTGTAAGGGTGTCCCGGCGGAGATGACCTCGATGTCGTCACTGGAACGCTGCCGCTTCGGCCGCTGGTACTCGAGCCCTGGATCAGGGACGAGATGGGGAGCACAGAGGCAGGTTACTTGGATGTTCAGAGTGGAGGCCCAGTCTCACCTGAGGATGGCAGGGGACCAGGACTGGGCTGTGGTGGCAGGGAGCCAGGGCCCTCGCTGCCCACAAGTGGGCTGTGGGGCGAAGGAAGTGGGAGGACAGTGTTCCCAAAGCCGCTAACAGACCCTTCAACTCCCCTCTGTGGGCGCTTCAAAGATGACCAGATGGGGAGGGGGAGGGTGGACAGTTGTTCCGGTCCAGGCCCCCAGCTGCAGGGGTGACCCAAGGCCGAAGAGCGTGCTGGCCTGGCCTGCTCGGGGATTCTGAGGTCCCACGGCCGCGGACCCCTCCTGACGATAAAAACAACATCTCGTGCTAGGTGACCTACAAGGCAGGACATGGAGTGTTTGTGGCTGAATTCCAACGCTTCCGTTCCCTATCTTGGGTCCTGTGGTTCTCAAGGCTGCGCCAAAGCCCAGGAGTCCTACCAGCGAGGGCCAAGAACTGCAGCCTCTGGGAGGAGGGCTCCGCGTGGTCCCGGGACACATTCCATCCACCCCAAAACCTCAGGAGGCTTCCACTCGCTCTGGGAAGCGTGAGTCTGAGAGGAGTGAGCCTGACCCAGGTGGGATGGCGCGTCGGGCTGGGAGGATCGCGGCCTCAGCGGGCCTCTCCGATCAATCACGCCCCTGCTCCAGCCTCCCTGCCTCCCTCAGGCCTGTCCCCCAAGGCGGGGACGAGGGCTTCTAGCTCCTTCCAGCCCCCCCAGCCCCACCCCGAGGACAGGTGGGAGCCCCCGCCCCCACAGTGTCCCAGAGCTGTGCTGGCCAACTCCACTACTGCCAGTCACGCGTGGCTACTGATGGATTAGGTGAGACGAGATGAAGCTAAAGATGGATGCAGACCTGTGGCCGCAGTCCCTGCATGGCAGGCAGCAGCCTCGTCGGACAGAGCAGTCACACAAGGTTCTAGCATAACCCTAGCGGGAGGAGTGCACACACAGTCTCGGGGGAGAAGCAGACGGAGGGATGCAGTGGGCTGATGGCGGCTGCGGGGCAGAACCGTTGGATGTGCCTTGGGACCCCCCCCCCCCCCCCCCCCGCCACTGCTCACAGCTGGCAGGTAAGGCCCCTCCGCCGGCTGCCCTGCCCCCAGCGGGACCGGGACTCACCGTTTTCCCTGTGCTGGAAGGAAGGGGAGAACTCTTTGGCAGTGATCCTGGCGATGCGTGCTTCCTCCTGGGCCTTCTGAGCCGCGGTGAGGGCCGCCTCGGCCTTGGCCCGGGAGTGGGAGGTCCTGGGCAGGAGAGACAGGGAGGGCGGTGAAGGCACGAGGTGGGGGGCGGCTGCAGCAGAGGGGCCGGGACAGGATGCCCGAGACCTCACTCACTCGGCAAACGTCCCCGGGCACCGCCCAGGCCAGGGTGCCCGCCAGCTGTTCTGGGCACAGAGCAGACCGCACCCGAGCGAGAGCAGGACCTACCTAGCCTGGGCTGTCTTCATCCGGGGTGAGCCCAGGTCCTGCCGCCAGGACTCTCCCTCCGTCCCCTGGCCCGGCTACAGGCTAGAGACCGCAACCCGTGGCTGACTCAGCTCTGAACCTCCGGGGGCGGGCAGGTGCTCCGTGTGGCCCGACCAGAGATGACGGTCTGGGGGCGGCTGTGCACCGCCCCGCCCCCCCCTCCAACTGTGGGCGGAGCGGGCCACCCTCCAGGGTGAGCAACTGGCCAGCCTCGGGCAGGAAGGGGAGGGCTCCACGGCAGGACCAGCCCGCCCTCAGGAGAAGGCGCAGGGCACAAGGAGTACGGCGCGCACGGCCTGCCCTGGCCTGCCCAGCCCAGCCTCCCCCCGTCCTGCGTGAAGGGGCCTCGCTCGTCCCAGCGTCCTGCACCTGGGCCCCCGGCCAAGCAGGTCTTCAGCCCAAACCCTGTCCCCTGGAAGCTGGTGTCACCAGCCCGGTGTGCGCGGAGAAGTCTGAGCCCTGGTCTGCAAGTCTGTGGCCCGGTATGAGGCCCGACGCCCCTTAGCAGCTGCGGAGGCGATGGACAGAGCCAGTGGTGGCACTGCCCTCGGGGGGGGGGCACACCCCAGGGTGGACACGGGGCCGCGAATCCAGATGAGCCGATGACACCGCCCTGATACTTCCAGCAGCACAACCTCCCGCCCGGCGCTCAGCTGCCCCTCCCCAGCTGAGTCCGTGTGAGACCCTTCAGGGGGCAGGACTGGGTGCCTGAAGCAGGACAGCACCCAGCTTCTGAGGGTCTCACCTGCCTGCGGTTTCCATTTCTTCCTGCCTGGTGTCCTGGCTCCAGAGGCCCTGCTTCCCACCGGGGAAGCCAAGGCAACAACGACTGATCCCCCGAGACGAGGGCAGCCTGCCCCCGTTACGCACTCCACGCGCTTAACCTGGAGACCCCTCACCCCTCGTGAGCCACTGGGTTCTGTTTTTTCAAAATGCCACTGTGCTAAGCAAGAAGAGTTTACAAGAAAAAAGCCAACGTACGACGTACGCACACGTAGAGCACGTACGGCATCATGTGAACCTGGGTCCAGGACGCGGAGCAGCAGGTAGCTTCCAGGCTTCTGCCACCCGCCACCTGCCGCGTCGCCTGGGAGCAGGACCCACAGACGGAAGAAACCTATGTGCAAAAGCGCAGCGTTGAGAAAATTCTATCCTTTGCGTGGTTTCTTAGAAATAG